TTAAATAAATTATTATTAGAAAGATTAATATCTAATATTTTTAGTTCTTTTTGGGCCTTTAATCTAAATCTTATAATTATATAATTTATAGAAAAAAAGAATATTAGATTTCTTTTTAGAAAAAATAAAAATAAAATTCTTAAATTCCGGAAATAATACTTTCTAGAATTATTAAAGCTCTATTTCTTCTGGTTATTAATTCTCTGGGCCAGATATAGCATCTTTTTTCCGAGCTTTAAGTTTTTTATTAATCTTATAAATAAAGATTTAACTAATAATTTTTTTTTTCTTAGTTATATAATTAAATATTATAGAAATAAGAATAGCTAAATCTAATATTTACTTTTTATTAAGAATCTCTTTTTACTTTTTGGCTTTTATTTAGGTATTATATTTTAATTAGACTATAAAAGCTCTGTTTCTATAATCTTATATAATTTTCTCTAATTAGTCTAAAAAAAGAAAAATTATTTAAGAATAAATATTTCCAGAAATAGCTTATAATAAAATCTTTTAATACTTTTAATTAGATTATTTCTTTAGCTATTACTAAGAAATACTAATAATATAATTAAATTATATAAGCCTATATTTTTTATAATTAACTAGAATATTAATATATATAGTCTATTTTTTACTAAAAATAATATTTTATTTATTAATTAGAAATAAGACTTTTATATATTTCTTAATAAATTTAGTTAGATTTTTATTAAAACTATATATAATATAGAATAAGGAAAGAAATTATAGTTTTATTTCTAGAAATTGTTTTATAAGCTAAATAAGCTTTATATTAATAAAATTATAACTATTAGCTCTAGTATTAATAAAGGAAAAAGATTTAATTTCTAATTTATTTATATTAATAATATAAGATATTATAAAAGTATTTTCTTTTATTAGATATATTAAGTTAATCTCTATTAAATTCATATTATAAGTCCCTAAAATAAAGACTTTTTTTAAGAATATTTGTTTTCCGGTTTTATATTAGAATTAGAGTTTGAATTCTCTAAATACTTTAATAAAATAGGAATTAAATATTCTAATAAAATAGGAATTAAGCCTGGCTTAATTCTAGAAAACGCTATTTTAATTTCTTTATTATATCTAACTAGATAGTATTTAATATAATAGCCGAATTCGTTATAATTAAAGTATTTAATAATTAAAAGATTTCTAGTTTTTATAAGATATTATTTATATTTATAAAGAAATATATATTTAATAAAAGTAATTAATATAGATTTCTTGAATTCTTTTTTAGAAATATAAAAGAATATAATACTAGAAATAAACTTAGTTAGAATAGTTTCTATTTTCTTATATTTCTTAATTTTTTTATATATAGCCTTAATTTACTAATTATTATAATATATATTAATTCTTAAAGCTTTAATAAAAGCTTCTCGTTTAGTTTACATTTAATATCTTAAAAACTAATATTACCTTTTATAAATAATTATAAAAAGAGAATATAGAATTCCTGAAATATTTAATTAAAATATATTTAAAGCTTATTAAAATTATAATAAGTATTCTATATCTTATTAGGGTTAGAATATAGTTTCTTTAGGTAAGAATATAGCTCTAAAAGCTAATAATACTAATTTGAATTATTTTTATTTATATAAGAATTAGTTAGGGTAAGAGTATTATTTATAAGTTTATTAGAAATATAAATAAGTTTGAGATTTTTTAAGAAATATAAATTAGTATTTTCTTATGACTTATTCTTAATCTAAACTAGCTAGTTATTAAAAATAGTATAATCTCTAATAAAGAAAGTCAAATCTAAAAGTATAATAATTCTAGTATTTTTAAAGAAAGTATAAGATATAGGGAATTCTAAATAGAAATAAATAGAAAATAGTTCGGAATTCTTTTAAAAGAAATTTGAAATAGCCGGAATTATAGAAATAATAGAAATAAATAGAATAGAAATAGCTAGAACTATTATAATCTAATTTATTATAGCTATATAGTATTTAATATTATTCTCGAGTTTAATATTATAGAGTTTAGTATTTTTAAGAAGATTCTTAGTATTTTTATAATTTATTTTATATAAAATAGCTTTTTTAGAAAAATTTAATAGCTAATAATAATCGAATTAATATTTAAAAGCAAGTAATTAGCTTTCTTGGCCTATTTATATAGTTCTTTAGTAATAATAAACTAATTAATATATAAGAGCTTTTTAATAAAAGAAAAAGCCTTTTTCTTTATAGATTTATTTAAAAAATCTTTAGGAGTATTAATAGGGCATTTAATTCGGGAAAGGCTACTAATAGAATAATTCGAACTAATAGAAGCTTTAAAAAAAGTTAATATTATTCCGAATTATATAATATTCTAGGAAATTAATTTATTATATTTTTTCTAGTAGTTTTATTACTAGTATATATATAGGGCCTATAAGATTATAGAATAGGGCTTAAGGGTAATAATTAGATTACTAGCCTATAGATATTTATTATTTTAGGACTTGGTTAAAGAATAGCCTTTATTTAAGATTCTTTAATTTTCGAGTTTTTAAAAGAATTTCTAATATATTACTAGTATATATTTATAAAAATATAAATATCTAATTTCTTTAAGGGTTCTAAAGCTTTTTGCTTTTATTATTCTAGAATCTATTACTTGTATTTCTAAGGTTTTATTATTTTAGTAATATTTATATTTCTAATAATTCCGAATTAGTTTATTTAAAATTCTTTATAAGATTAAAAGAAATAAGCTTTAAATACTATTACGGATATAGTATTTAGGGCTTAAAAAATAAAAGAAAAGATCTCTTATAAAAACGATTTAAAGCTAAATATTATACTAGATTTTTATTTTAACTAATTTATTAAATTTTATATTTTAGCTTATTTTTATTAGCTTAATTATATTAACTTATTTAATATTATATTTTTATTTATTATCTTTTAATATTAATAGAAATAGTTTCGAGTTTATTTAATTTAATAAAGAATTCTAAGAATTCTTTTATAACTTCTTTATATTTTATTCCCGATTTTAAAATTAATTAAATAATAGTATTTATTAGCTTATATTATATATTATTCTTATATTAATTTTATATAATTTATATAATTAATTTATTAATACTTTAGCTTTATTTCTATTTAGTTTCTTTTTAGGTAAGCTAGCTTTAATAAAAGAGTTCCAATCTAGAGAAATATAAAGCTTATAGCTTTTTTTTTTAGTTATAAATAGAAACTAGCTAATAGTTTTATATTAAAAAAAGACTTATTAATAATTAATTATAATAATTAATATATAAATATAATCTCTAATTAAAATATTAATTAATAATTTCCGTTTATTTATTTATTTATTTATTTATTTATTTATTTATTTATTTATTTATTTATTTATTTATTTATTTATTTATTTATTTATTTATTTATTTATTTATTATTTATTTATTTATTTATTTATTTATTTATTTATTTATTTATTTATTTATTTATTTATTTATTTATTTATTTATTTATTTATTTATTTATTTAAAAAGTAAAATAAAAGATCTTTTATAAAAACGATTTAAAGCTAAAAAAAAGAAAACTAGAATATAAGAGGCTATAAAAAAGTATATATATCTTATAATATACTAGTTTCTAAAGAACTTAGTCTTTTAAATATATTTCAAATACATTTCTCTAATAAAATAACTATATTATATATATTTAAGAAATATTTAAATATTTAGATATCTAGATATCTAATAAATTATAATATAAGTTATAAGTAATTATAAAGTACTAGAAATCTAATTATTTAAACTAAAAGCTAGGAAACTAAATAAAGGACCTATTTGAAATTTTAGAAAAGTATAATTATTTATTTCTTTTTAAGCTATTAGAAATTATAAAAATATATCTAGTTTTTTATATAAAGAAGCTATAAAAAAAAACTCTTAGAATTCTTTATTAAATTAAGTAAATCCGGAACTATTTTTATTAGTATTAAAGAATAATAAATAAAAATATAATATTAAATAAATTATTATAATTAAGCTAATAAGAAATAAACTAAAATATAAAATCTAGTAAATTAATTAGAATAAGAATCTAATGTAATATCTAGTTTTAATATTAAATAATAATTCCCTGGTTTTATAAAGCATTTATAATAATAATATTAATAGATTAGAATTTCTATAAAACCTATAATATTAGCTACATTATATTAAAAAAATACTTATCCGGAATTATATAAAAATAATAATAAATTCTTCTAAAATATATATTAAAGGCACCTGTTTTTTATATAAAATTAGATAAATTAATAGCTTTTATAAAGCTCGAAAATAAGCTTATTCTAAAAAGAAAAGTAATATTATAATTTAGCTTTTAATTTTATTAGCTAATATAATTATATAAGATAATTACTTATATTCTATTACTTTCTAGATATATATAATATGGCTGCTTTATTAAAAAAGTATATTTAAAATATATTAGAAATATTTAAAAGGCTAAGTTTTTTAGAAACTAGTATATTATAGGATATATATACTTTTTTATAGCCTCTTATATTCTAGTTTTCTTTTTTTTAGCTTTGAATTATCTTTATAAGAAACCTTTTATTTTATTTTCTAAGCCTTAAATATTATAGTATTTATTCGAGTTCTCTTATAAAGCTTTATAATAAAGGTTATGTTTTCTTTTATATTAACTATGTAAATAAAGTATTTAATATATAGTTTCCCTAAATACTTAAATAAATTAAAGTTTTATAACTTATTAAGAATATATTCTTTAATTAGATATAACCTAATAAGGGAATAGTATAGTAGAAATAGAGGCAGGAGAGAAGACTCGATTATATTAACTAAAGAGATAAGAAGAAGAAGAGAGATTACAGACTTTTATAAAGCTACAATCTCGCTAGACTATATAATAGTGCCACGTCTGCACGTGACACCATGTGACCTGTCTTCTCAACAAATATATTCTTTAATATATTATAACAAGCTTTATTATTTCCTATTATATATTAAAACATTTCATCCGGTATACTATCCTTCTCACTTCCTTTTCTCTTACCACTTCTGTCTCCAAGCTTATGCACAAAATTGCTTATCCAGCTCTTTCTAAGCGGCTTGATAATTGAACGAGAGGAGCCTGGTCGAGGAGGAACTTCGGCTCCTAAAGTCTGGGTCCCTTTTTTCACACTAGGCTTTATCCCATTATTATATAGAATATCCAGCATCCTCGAGCCCTTTTTCCACGTTGCTCTGTCGAGCAGGGACAGCCCACCCGGCTGAACTGCTGGTTTGAATCCGCTTTTCAATTGATCCTCTACAAAACAATACAGCTGACAATCAAAAGCAAATTCAAAAAAGGAATGTTCGAAGAAGGCATTTCCTTTATTTTTCGATATGAATGCTGTCCAGTGGCGAATTCCGATCTTGTCCCCAGCTGGAAACGGATTTTGAACCGCCCATCCAGCTTCAAGCCAGCTCTTGGCCGAATTGCTAGGATCTTTGCCGCTGAGTAATTCGTTGCAAGCTTTATCGAGTTGATTGAGGGTCAAGATATGTGTGTCTCTGGAACGAGACTCGATTTTGAGAGAATATTTGATGTATATGTGGACCAAATTCTCAAAGTCTCTTAGCACAATATTACGCATTTCCGCCGCCTTTAGTAGTTGGAGGTAGGCACCACATAGCATCAAATCAGGGTCGTAGGATCCTGACACTCTTGATCGCAAGTAATCCCAGATATCGGAACGGTGCAAGTAATCCCTTACAGTCCTATGAAGGTACTGTACTTTGGCTTTTGATGAATCTCCACTGTAGACAGGGGCTTCTAGTAACCCTTTACAGCGACTGTTCAGGCGTCGTCGCATCATTTCCGTTTTAAAATCGATTTCCTCTATTAATAAACTTTTGACCTAGGATAACATTACTTAGTTCCAGCCATCGTCTGCAAAAGCCAGAGAAAGGAGAGTGAGGGGCTCGTCCTCGAGCGCTGCGCCAACTAACTGGAAGAGTTTTGATGCTTGGTCGAAGTACCGGGGACTGAGATTGTTCAATATTTTTGAAAATAATTCCTCGAGGTCGGATGGTAAGAGACTCAGTCTTTCTTGCAAATCAGAGATACCATCACCGTCTCGCAAGCCTTCCAGTAGAGATAAGACAACTAGGCACACCCACAGAAATACGCCAGCTGCCTTAGTCGTGACCTCTTTGACTAGTCGCTCTGCTTCTAGCGGTTTCAGGCGCGCGAGGTTTGAAACATGTTGTTCCCTCCGAGCTTTGAGGAGACGTAATTGTGGATGTCTCCTCTAGTCAGGCTCTCTAGGCGCAAAGAGGGTCGACGCCAGTGTGTCAAAAAAGTAATCAAGAATTTTCGAATATTCATGAATATTCATGATTAATTTGATTAGAATATGATTACCGGAATGCTCAAAAAATTTGATTAGATTAGAATATATATTCATGAATATTCATGAATGTTGAAATTAGGGGCCTGAGGCCCCTAATAGGCTTAGTAAGCCCTGGAACCGAACGCCATGGGGCTGTGCACTAGCTGGAATACCCTGTACGGCTGGAATACCCTGTATAGCTGGAATACCATGTACGGCTGGAATACCCTGTATAGCTGTAATACCCTGTACGGCTGGAATACCCTGTATAGCTGTAATCGGTTCAGCTGGCATAGGGATTTAGTACATGTGACTTAGGGGGTTCAGGGCTATATATACGGGCTACTTACCACTGTAGAACAGCAGTCAATTCAGTATCGTTTACTTGGTTTACATTGCAAGCACGTGACCCTAGCTTTATTACTTAGCTAGTTCAACAATGAATACAAGTGATTACTCGTCACGTGACTATAATAAATCAAGGTTTACTTAATAATTATTAAATAATTAGAGTATTTATTAAGCAGCCCTATTTAAACTAAGCTAGGACTTATAAAATACTAGCTAAATATTAATTTTCTAGAATAATAAACTGATTATCCTCTTCGAAATCTTGTTTTTCCCCCTTTACTCTTCCTTTTTAATCTCTTCTAATTCATCTGTAAATAGCCCCCAGCTTTTTAAGCAAGATATTAGCTCAAAGGTACTCTTATTAAGTCTATTGCGTAATTTAGATATAATAAGAGCGCCCTGAGAAAAGAATCTCTCGCTAGTGGCTAAGGAAGCCGGAATTCCCAAATATTTCCTAGCTATTAAAGCTAAAACAGGAAATCTAGCGGCATTAGACTTCTAATAGTCTAAGGGCTTAGTCTATATTTATATTAGTACTAATATATTAAAATATAGTAAGAAAATATCAGCTAGTTATTTAGTAGAATTTAAGTGAATTTTACTTACTTTTTTATCTTCTCTCTTTTTTTCTAAATAAGTTATTAATTCGTCTCCTATATTAGAGGACGAATTAGTAATATATATATCTAAGTTATCGGAGTCGGAATCGGCCATACTAAGATCCGAGGAATCGGATCTAGCTTGAGATATATTATAATCATATTTATATCTAGATTTAAATATTAGTTATTAATTTATTAAAAACTAATAAAAGGAATTACTTATACGTTATAATTAGTCTTTAATCTATTATATATACCCGAAGATATACTAGTAGATAAGCTAATACTAGCTAATTCTTCTCGTTTAATTCGAGGATTAAGAATAAGAACTAAATATAAAGCTTTATTTTTATTATCTAAAATGCCTGTTTTAGGATAATATTTTCGAAGCTTAGCTATACCCTTATTAATAGTATCTGTAAATGCTTTGTCCTATTAAATATTAGTATAATATTATTAATAATATAAGAAGAATTTAAAAAAAGACTTACTTTAAATTCCTTTTTAAAATTTTCGAGTTTATTATATATTTTATATACCTTAGGTATAATATAATATATAGTTAGATAATTTTCGGCTTGTAACTTAGTTATAGCTTTAATAAATATTGAAATTATATTTAAAATATTATTTAAATAAGTAATTTTAATATTAGTTAAAACTAGACTTTTATTTTTAAAAGCCTTTGAATTAGAGCTATTAATAACTACTTTAATAGCTTTATATATATATAAAAAGTTCTTTAATATATAATAAGTTAAAGACTACCGTGTTTTTTTAATCTATAAATAATTAGTATTAATTAATAATTAAATAAATAAATAAATAATTATTTACTAAGTTAAGGGAATCGAGTATTTTCTATATTAAAAGCTTTAATTTGAGCTTCTAATAACCGTCGGTTTTCTTAGTTATATTTAAGACTTATAATAGTCTTTCTAATCTTTCTCCAAATTCATAAATCTATAATTATTAATAAATCTCTTATAAATTATATAGGAAACTTACTTATTACTTGTTCTCCTTCTTTATCTTCTTCTCTATCTTTAAGTTCTTCTATTTCTTGCTTATATAAATCCGTAGAATAAGAAGTATTATAATTATTTTTAATAAGAGCTTTTAAAATATCTTGAATTACTAAGTTTAATATATAAGCTATATAAGAAATATCTCCTTGAAATTTAATACCTTTCTTATTATAATACTTTATAAAAGCCTTTAATAAGGTATTATTTGAGCTAGTATTATCTCGAGTAATACTAAATAAAATATATTAGTAATTATTTTTTAAAAACCAAGATTTATATTACTTATCTAGTAATATTATATTTAATATTATATTATTTCAAAGCTTCTAATAAAACAGAAAGTATATAAATATTAGAGTATATATTATTTAAGTCTTTTATAGCTAATAAATAAGACTTTAATATAAAATCTTTATTTATAAAATATCTAAAATAAAATTAGTTTATCTTTTAAAAAAAATTAATTAATTAATAACTTATTAACTTATATAATAATACCAAGAAAAGCTTTTTAATTTATACTTATTCAAGTATCTAAAGTAATAGGGAAAGTTCCTTGAGATTTAATATTTTCTCTTACTTCTTCTTTAATATTTAAACTCTTTTTAATATAGTATAAATTAAGCTTATCTATAAATATCTTTAAATATATAGCTTGTACTTGACTATTAAATATTAGTATATATATATATAAGAAGGAATTTAATAAAAACTTATTAATTTAAATAAGATATTAGCTTTTTAAAGCTAGATATAGTAATAGCCCGAAAAGAGATATTATTAATAATAAAGTTTAATAATAATCTCTTAAAGTAATTAATAGTAAAGCTTTTCTCTTATTATCCAGATTACTTATTAAAAAGGCTACTTATAATTATTTACAAGACTTAACTAGAAGCTTTACTTTTACTTATTAAATATATTAGTAAATCTAGTTTTTTATTTAATATAAAATAACTTACTATTATTCTTGCCTTCTTTAAGAGCCTCAAGATTTATAAATTTATGCGAGTTTCAAAAGTAAGTATAATAATTACTTATAAAAGCATATATTTATTAATTTATCTAAGTTTTATTATTATATATATTAGTTAAATAAAAATTATATATAGATATAATAACTTATAAATAACCTCGAACTAAATACCTTATAGTATATATTATGAGAGAGAAACTATAATAAGACAAAAACCCATATAAAGTATACCAGAGTACAAAACGTAACTTAATAGCAAAATAATAAATTAAAAGTATAAATAATAAAGCATAAATAGTATATAGTATATAAAAGCTCAATTAATTAAATACTTATAAAGGATTATTCTCTAAATCTATAGAAAAACTAGCTTTCTTATATAATTTCCGCAAGTTATATATAAAAGGCCGCGGCCTTTACTATATAACCTAAACCTCAAAACCACTAAAATAACACGATTTTTGACGAGTATAGCCTGCTATACTATATCTAATCCCCTATTTATTCGTACTTATTCCCTAAGTACTAAAAATAATAAAAAAATCCTATTTAGAGTCTAAAATAATAAAATATTCAAGATCTTCCTTTATTAGTTAATCTAATTTCTTTTCTATATACCTAAAATAAGACTTATTATCCTTAAATAGTCTTATTTTATATTTCCGAACTTACTTAAAGATAATCCGAATCCGCTTAGCTATATTCTTATATTAAATCCGATATAGTTCTTTATATTAATTAGTATTCGCCTTTAACTATTACTTAATTTCCGCCTTTATTACTAGGTATTAAGAAGGCTTATTATAGTAAATCATATTATAAATTGTACTAATATACTTCAAATAAATAGCTTCTTCGAATTTCGTATTATTTATAGTATTCTTAAATTAACCTTTAATAAAAGGGGAAAGCTCTAGATAAGAGGCTTTAATAACCTTATAAGAGACTTTATTTTTGTATATTTTATCCTTAATAGTAATTAGACTTATTAAAACTATAGTAAAAGGCTTATTAAGTAGCAAATTATTATTAAGCTATTTTTTAACTTATATATTATCCGAGAATTAAAGCTTTCCTATAATTCTAGACTTATAAATTACCTAGCTAAAGGTATTTATTTGTCTAGTTAAATAAATTATACTTGAAGTCTTTTCTTCTATTATCTTTAGTAAATACTCGCCTATTTCCTTAGCTATTTCCGGCTTAAATTTATTAGAAATAGAGAAGTAATTAATATCTTTAAAGAACTTCTTACTAAAAGTAGCGGCCTTCTTATAGTTCGTAAGGAAAATATAACTAATATTTTAATACTTTTTACTAAGATAGAATTCGCTACTTAAAGCTTTAGTAATAGCCAGATCTTTAGTATTACCTTTATACTAATTATAATTAATATTTCCAGAAATAAAGTATTAGGCTAGCTAAAAGTAAGTAACTAGATAAATAGGATACTTACTTAATGCCTTATAAAATCCGAGTTATATTAATAGATCTATTATTAAGAATTAAGAGACTAAGGTAAAATAGCTATTACTAAGATCTCTATATATTAATATATTATTTTTTCGGAGATAGAACTATAATATCTCTATTTCTTTTATTAAGAGCTCTCGAATACTAAGCTTTTTAATTTACTTTAAGTAATTCTTCTTATAAATATAGCTATTAGTATCTAGATTAGTAGTACTAGACTTAGAAATAGAGATTATAGTATTAAATTAAAGCTATAAATTAGGGCGGAATTAATTAGAAATATAGTACTTATATCTATATTTCTTAATTTCCTAGTTTTTAAAAAAGAAATCCCGTATTTCCTTATTTATTTAAGTAATAGAAATATACTTCTTGCTTTTAGTAACTTTATAAATCTTAGTAACTAGCTTTAGAGTATTCTTAATCTCTTATATATTAATAAAGAAAATATTAGTAAGTTACTAAGTATATACTATATAAAAAGCTTTAAGGAATCTATTATTAACCTTATAGTATTCTCGCTTATAGATAGGTCCTATAATACTATTATATATTTCCTTAAAAATATATTTATTTTACTAAGTAAGTATTAACTTCTATTTAGCTAGTATCTTACAGGTATACTAAATATCTTTATTAAGTTCTTTGGACTTAATACTTTTAGTCTTCTATTTCTTAGTTCTAGGTATAGTTATAAGAATTTTTCTAAATAATGTCTTTTTCTTTAGAATAAAGAATTCCTTCTTACTTTTCTCTATTTCACTAATCTTATACTTAGTCTAGTACTCAGATCTTTACTATTTATTAGAAGTCTTAGGCTTAGCTTATTCTCTATTCTTATAAGGTTCTTCTTATCTAGTTATACTAGTTCTACTAGCTTTACTAGTAGTTTTCTTATTAGGCTCTATTAAATTAGCTCCATTTTTCTTAGCTAGATCCGATTAAGTTAAAGCTAAAATTATAATAAGGGCCTATTCTTTAGGCTTATCTCGGAAAGCAGGAAAAGGCTTATTATTATAAACTTCCTTAATTAGGATTCCGGAAATATTAAAAATATATTATTTAGCCTTAAGATTATTAGCTAATAGTAATTTAAACTCTAATTCTCTATATTCCGAAATAGCTTTAGTATATTTAAATGCCTTAGTAATATCTAATTTAGTAAATATACTAGTATTCTAATACTTCTTATTCTTAATATACTCTAAAATAGCTTTATATACTAAAGCTTTTATCTTAAAAAGAAAATATAACTTCTTATAAATATTCTTACTAAGAGTATTATAAATATTATTAATATATTAGCTAAAAGCTTTACTATATAATAGAATTCTATTCTAATCCTTAGTATTAAGACTATTTATTATAGTCTTAATCTTATTAAGCTTTTTTTATTTACTTTTAGAAATGCCTTTAATA